TAATCGACGTACTCATTGATGGGATGAAACGCACAGGCACACGTGGATACACGATGCTCACTTACGAACATATCCTGTTGTCGTCCATGAAAATAACAAGACCGCAGACTGAAATGTACTCAATTGTCGAGGAATCAAAGTATGAAAGTCCACATAGATAACTGTGACCCTATCAATATAGATATTCTTGTTGTATAGAGCAAATTGTTAGGATTCGATCAGGTCCTCGGGATAGATGACATTGAAAGGTTGGGTGGTGTCGACATTACAAAAATGGATGAAGCCAGGTTTGTTAATCACCATATCTGTGCATCCATGATGGTAAATCAGCCCGTCTTTACCGCGGAATACGACCAACGTACAAGGACTTGGACAGCATTATGGAAATGGTCGGATGGATACCCACAGGGATATCTAAAAAGTCCGGGTACCTCAGTAGCCTGTGTCTAAGCAAGAAAGGGGCGAATATCAGCATGAACTTCAGGCATGAATAGATGACGAGTGGCTGATTCCTTACTCCGAAAAAGATATAGGTCCCACCAGGGGCCTGATTCAATCAATAGCGGTGGTTCAAAAGGAAAGGCCTGTCCTGTGTTTGATTACCGCGAGCTAAACGTGCATGTTGACAAATGCACTGCTCAAGTAGATATTTGTGCTGACAAATTGAGAGAATGGCGGAGAAAAGGACTCAGTGTTCTCGTGGTTGATCTTCGCAAGGCGTACCTGCAGATACGTGTGCATTGACCGTTGAGCCCATTTTAAACCGTCATTTATAAAGGGCAGAGATATTGCCTAAAAAGAATGGGATTTGGGCTCAATGTGGCACTGGCTATCATGAAAGCCATTTTGAATACTGTGCTGGCAAAAGATGAGTCCATTCCCCAAGACACTTCAGCCTATATTGATGACATTTATGTCAACGAAGACGTGAAATCGGAAACACACATAAGGCAACATCTCGATGATTCTGAAGTGACGTTCAAAGACCCAGAACAATTGGAAGACAATACCTGAGTGCTCAGCCTGCAAGTTTGGTGGTCGTGAGAGTGAATTACAGAAGGGACCCGAAGTTCTCACTCAGCGATAAGTATTTTCACAATGTAGAAAATTAGCAAGACACTTTCCTTATTGTGGCTTGTTCCGTATTGTGACCGCCTTCATTAAACGCAGAGCAACTGAGGTTACGTTCGGCTGGGGTAATCAAGTAATAGACGCCTCCATCAACATGGTTATAGATGTCATTACCAGAGTACAACAAGTTGACCCTGTGCGGACAAGTGGTGTGTCGACGGACATAAGCTTGAAGTATGGACCAATGCACGCTCCCTTGCAACTGGAGTATATCACGGTTTAAATGGGGACTCATTGGAGGATGTATGCCGGTTGCGTGCAGAAAAGAACGTTCGGTATTGGAGGCCGTACTCAGGGTTGTTAACCAAGCACTACCGTGAAAGGCAGAAAAGCTGAACTTATTCACGGATACTACATGTGTTTACGGATGGATATCTGAAACCCTTACCGAAAAGTCTTCAAGGGAGATGATCATTCGGATTAGGCTCAGCAGCTTGGAAAAACCGTTCAGTGAATATAACTTATTAGTGGACATGAATCTGGTGAAATCCAACCAGAACCAAACAGACAAGCTGACGAGGATACTGTTGAGATAACTCGACGGAACTGCTGAAACTTTTCTGTACAGCATCAGTGAGCACATGCGGCTTGGACAAGATAAGGTCGGTATACAGTCAAAGTAGGCAACCTGATATTAAAAGGACTCTATACTTCACAATGACCCATTAACAGTACGATGGTCAAGAGAAAAGTTAAAAGTTAGCGATATGTGGACCCCTGACGCTGATTGACTGTGGTCGCTTACGATTCACAATCTCGCGACAACTACATCGACAAGATTCAGCCAGCTTTATTAACAATTTAAAGGCCCTATTTATTTTTAACAAGAACCTCCAACTAAGCTTCTAACCGACAATGACCTTTTTTTTAGTAGTCAGCCATTCATTTTAGACGAGTGGAGCATCCATATCCGTTTTCGCTGCGCTCACGTCCCCTCCGGCAACGGGATAGTTGAACGTTATCGCCGAAGCGTAAAACGAATTGCCACAAGGAAACAATGCTCAGTGATGGAAGCCGTATATTGGCACAACATTACGCTCAAAGATGACGAGTCATCTTCCACCGCACCCGATAATGGGATTTACCTTTATAGAGTCCGGGCACGAGGTATTTATAAAACACCGCCACCAAAAAAAAAAGAACGTGTACGATTGACATATAAGTCAGGGGACCGTGTGTAGGTAAAATCCCTTTCAATGTACGACTCACTATCAAGTTGGACGTGTCACATTGATTAGAATACAGCACGCAATTTTTTTTCTTTTCTGTAATCCAATTTATTAATCTTTAATTTAATTCTTCCTTTGTATTTGTTTTTAATTTTGATTTTATTTCATTTTTATTTGACTTTCTTCCTAAAGCAAAAATTTATCTCGAACGTTTTATTTGTACGTTTTTTTGTACTAACGAGCACATGTGATTGTCTTTAGAGATATTTGTTTCTTGTGGGTGGCCCCGCCCCAAAGTCCTGAGGTGTCTCAGTTAAAAAAAGGACAAGGGTGGTGGACGGGATTTAACTAATTACAGGTTCAGAACTCTGCTAAACACAGTTAAATATGTTTACCATCATCCTGACGGAGCGTTTGCAGTCAGTTGCCAAGTGTTTGTTGGGACCTGAACAGACTTATGCTGTGCAGAGACGAACAATTCAGGGCAACCTGCATCCGATCCGCAGATCCTAGACGGTGTAAAAGACGACAATCAAGTTGGGCTGATCAATTTAGATCAGTCAAAGGCATTCGACATGGTTTACCATCAATACCTGGCTGCTGTGCTACAGACCGCTAGTTTCAAACCCGACTTCTGCAAACAGGTCAACATCCTGTATCGCCCCCCCCCCTCAGTGCTGTGGTACAGGTGAACAGAAGGCGGTCGTTCTCTTTATCACAGTTACGGTTTGTTCGACAGGGTTGTCCGGTTTAGTGTTGAAGTCCCTCCTTCGCTGACAAAGGGACAGGCCGTACAATCCGACCCTACGAGGAATCGTGGTCCCTGGAGGCACGCGAATCAGAGTTTCCGCGTACGATGATGATGTGTTTATTTTGGTGTCGTGCTGCCGCAGCAATATTGAGGTAGTACAGAAGGCGCTTGAGTGGTACGAAAAGGTCACGGGGCCAAGAATAATCTCAAAAAGTATTCTGGATTTTGGTTAGGTGCCTGGAAGAGGGTTGCGCTTCCGGAGCTCTTTAGTTGGACAGACGGAACCGTGCGCACTCGTAGAGTGTGATTCGGACCCTGCTGAAGAAGAATTGGTCCGAAGAACATTCAAATTTCGGAGCGGCGGTCCGGACATTGCTTCGGTTATCTCTAAAGGGTCGAGCTGAGTCGTGTGCCACTTACGTCTGTCCTCTTACTCCTTATGGATTGGCTGTCCTTCATCTCTTTCAGCAAGTACCAAAAGAAGGCGCTCTGGGTCTTGTTGTTCTCCCGCTCTAGGTAATCGGAAAGCATCAGTTGTGCAGAGAGGTCGGTGCCCAAAGTCCGCATCATGGGGGCTTGTATGCCGCACTTGTTGTGTCAACGGCACGTCTCAAGATCGACTTTCCTACCCCGCTCGTTGAGAGAGGACTCAGTTTTGGAGGGGAGTATTGGGACACCTTCGCTAGCCTTGTCATTATTCCTCCCGTTTCCTGGGTATAGCGCGATCTTAAGTACAGGGATCAATTGAGTTTCCTTCGACAACATCTGGCGGCCTTGTAGGTCATTACTCGCTTCAGGGAAATTTCTCGGCCTTGTAGACATTTGTGTCGTGAGTTAATGGAGGGTGTCCCGAACAATCCTTTATGTCACCAGCTCAGTTTGTCGGGATCAGATTTGCTCTTTCTCGTCTTAGGTGCCAGCGGCGGTTTATCTCAGCAACCCTGAGTTTTTGCTTATCGTGCGATTGATTCAGATCTCTCAATGACGTAGCATTCAGGGAGTGGGGCTTGGCGAATTTTCCCGACTGTCATCAGTGTAATTTTGGTTTAGAGGAAACGGTTTCGCACACTTTTTACCACTGTACTTAGGTGTTCCCGTTCTTGGCTTATGAGGGCGAGTTGACGGATCGTCTCGATACCAAACAGCTAATTCCCATTGATTTCGCATACATGTGCGATAATGTGTCGCCCCTCTTCTCTGGGGTAAAACCGATGGTGTTTTTCACGTTGGTAGTTATGGCAAGAATGGTGGTGTGGACATCGCGGATGGAAGGAATCTTACAATATGAACATTATTCGCATCAGGATCTGGTCAGATTCTGGGGACATCAGCTCAAGATAAAGATCAGAACTGATAGAAAGCGTTTGTTATCGACAAAGCTCATTTCATGATTCATGAAATTTGTTAATATTTTTGTTGGTAAATAAAGTAAAGAAAAGAATGAGACATTGTACATTTGTACTGTGACGGACGCAGATAGCCCAAACACGCATACACGCATATATTAAGGTTAATTTCCGCCTGACAACAGAAGAGGTCACGTGGAAGTCTTGAGATATTTTGGGAAAGCAAGTCAAGAGGTTGACTGACCCAATTACCCGTAGCAACAGATGTCTAGACAGAAGCTAGACAGGGGACGAATGTAAGCTGGAATTCGCGCCAAGTCGTGAGAGTTAGAAAATTACTTGGGTGTTAGTTGCTGTCTTGTCTTTGAAGGGGCAAGACTTGAAATCGAAGCACTGATAACTTATGAACGGGAAGATGAGACTCATTTGATAATGATGGAACTTGTCCGATTCATCCCAGGCAACTCCGGACAAAAAATATAAGAACATGTATTTCTGTTCGATAACCCCAATTTGAAGATGATAACCCGTGTTATTTAACACAGAAGACGTAAAGGAATTTGTACGCTGAGAATACAAACCGCGTTTGAAGAAATGAGAAAATCAGAGAGGAAGAAAGTATATATCTCTGTTACAAGCTGAATTGTGTAAAGAAGAAAGGAAGAAAGAAACTGAACTGTATACAGAAGAAGAATGTAAGAAAGAAGAAAAACCAGGGAGAGGAAGAAAGTGTATATCTCCGTTACAGCCAGACAGTGTGTGAAATCGTATTTGTGTCAAAGAAGAAAAAAAGGGAAAGAAAAGAGGAAACGTGAAAGAGAAAATAAAGAACAATGATATAAAAAAAGACAACTGATTATAAAGATAAGTAATCATATATTTTGGACCCGTGTTAGAAAGATACACATGCATCCATAAATATTATGTTCTTACAAACACCTTTCCACATGTCAAAAATAATAGTATGTAACACCTATGCCATCTCGTTCGGGTTCAGTCGAATCCATTTGGAGTTAGGCATATTTTGATATCCCAATATAAGTCTTGAGATCTGGTCGTCGGATGTTTACACATGCTTATATTTTCTTTTATTTCATTATTTTGTATATCTGTACATATTAAGAGCTTATATCAAAATTCTCTACGCCTTATCGTTCATCCTTGAATTGTGGATCAGTATTCGTGTTGAAACCGAAGCGAACCTGGGAAAAGATTATTGTTCGATTATCCTAATCGAACAGTATTCTTTATAATATATTTTTTTTTGTTTACAAATTGTCCATTGTCATGATCTGAGAGAGATAGGCTGTATCTCTCCACAGGCGTGATGATGTATATATCTTCTGGTCGGCGTATGATCGCCTTATAAACCCATTCGTCGACTAGGGCATATGAAAGTACATAGAGAAAACTTTACATCATGGGATTGTTTTGTAGGTTTTCCTGTGAATATGTAGTATTGCGGTACTTGTAGGATTGAATGGCGATGTGTGAGTTTTTGTGGTGAATGTGTAAATTCTAATCAATGAATGACTCGTGAGTCTGATTAACTAGGTCTAGGATAGTGATGACCAGCTTTAATCCACTTCCCTTTCGGCTTTTTACCACAGTTTTTCATTTTATGAATAATAAACCATCCTACTTTCTCCGTCGGCCTGCAAGTGACAATTTCCGTATGTTTTGGATTTCTGCACGTTTACGTGTATTGGGGATTTTTGACATTCGACCTGCGATTCGTGATTTCGACATTTATTTCTGCCACTTGACCTTCAAGATTGGACTTGAGATAGTATCCTTTTGAAATTGAGCTATCATATCATTCTTTTGACCATATATTTTGAATATATATATATATATATATATATATTATATATATTATATGTGTGCGTGCGTGTGTGTGTGTGTGTGTGTGTGTGTGTGTGTGTGTGTGTGTGTATGTGTGTGTGTGTGCACGGGTAAAATCTTATCAAAATATAAATCTGAGTCTCGGATTTTACAAGTATCTCCCTTCCTGAAATAATTACTTCTTTCCCAAGCCACATTATATGACTATAAAATACTAAAATTTAAAAGAAAATGGTTAAATTCAATATCACGTGTTATTTAAAATATATAATACATAAATGTTTCCCATACTAAATAATTAAACATTAATTGCATAGAAAATTAAACAACATTTACTCAATTTTGTTTATTTGGAATTACATTATGTCACTTAGCATCTTCCATAATTTAATTAGACTTTTCATGTAACCTCACTTATATTCTTAAGTGTCTCTTAAATTTAACAATTTTGAAAAAAAAAAAAACATTTCTAATACATTTCTATTTTGTTTATAAAAAACATGTTGCAAATTAAAATTCTTAAATTTAAATTCCATCAGACGATGAAATGCGATGGTTAAGATAAGTTTTCCTTTGGTCGTTACATATATGCATATGCACATACACACACACACACACACACACACACACACACACATATATATATATATATATATATATATATATATATATATATATATATATATATATAGCAGTAGAGCCCGGCGTTGCCGGGGATGTAACAGTAAGAGTTGGGGACGGCTGTTGCTTTGAAAGATGTGCTTTGTAAGTCGACAGGATCTAAGTTACTACAAAACGTTGAAACGCTATGCACACAAAGTTTAGGCAGACATCATGCAGGCCCAAGTATTCGAAGGTATCGAAGGAAGTAACGGAAAGCCGTTTGCCATTACTAAGACAACTATGAGTAGAAGCTGGCAGCAGTTACTGCTTTAACCTATTGGATCGTTAAGCATTACTGAAAGCACTTGTGGTAAGTAGACCTGAAACCACGATTCAGTTGCAACATACATAGGGATTGAAGGGAAAACAAACGCGATGATGGCGGGTGATGGTATGAAAGTCAGAAGGCAGCAAAAGAGCTGGATAACCTTTACAAAGACGTCTTAGTAATGGCAAGTGGAGACTACGATGACCTAACGTTAAAACCAATATGACAAACAAAAAAATTGCCATGCAGTCGGACTGCATATGTGTGCATGGTGCTTAAACGCTATCGGGCGGGTTGTCTACAGGACCTCCGTGTAGGTTATGTTTCTAGCACAGTTGTTGGGAGAGTAAATGAAAACCCTGTCCTTAGACCCAACTCGTGAGCACCCAACGTAAAGTTGGCCGTGAGAGAAGCACTGCTCACGTAAATGCAGACCTGCGATGCTAAGCGTCTGTCCTTGTGATTTGTTAATCGACATAGCAAAACAAATCTTCACGGGAAATTGTGAGCGACGAAAGTTGATTGGTGGGCGTTTGCGTCTGACGACAGAAGATGCATCCTGTTAATCAGAACGACTTCCCCCCCTTGCCGCAGCCAGTTGCAATGGTCGCCTCAATCAGGTTCGAGAAAGGGATTTAATAATGAGGCGAGTCCCGTTGCACTGTTTAGGTGGGAGCAAATTCCTGATTAGCATAATCGGAGCACCAACTTTGAGACGAAGAATATGAGGTGGGAGTCCGGACGGCTGAAGGGAGTTCAAAACTTCTATGGGATAATCAGCTAATTCAGATGGATCGGAAGTTCTGTCGATGGACTTATAAACATGACATAGCCCGGGAATGCAATCCAACAGTTTAAGGTTGATGGAATCAACTGTACAGTTCTTCGGTGCCAATATGGCCCTCCCAGCAAGCCAATCGGCATCGGCAAAATTAGTGGATAGGTTGTAGAAGACTGCATTCATCAATACATCCGGTGATTCAACAGTGGGGGCAAGCTGATCCATCTTCACAAAACCGTGTGTGTCAGATGGCATTTTCCCCTCCCCAAGAGCAAGAACGTCCCGCGCGAAGTCAGCGGATCTGGAGTCCCCATTCAAGTAGGCACGCATGTTCGTGCTCAGTTTAAGAGTCTCCACGTGGTGCCAAAGATCAGACGACTTCAGGCAGGCGTGGACAGCGTCAGCGCGTGTACCTTTAGGAATAACAGGTAGAGTCTGTCTAAAGTCGCCTGCGAGGAGAAGTGTTACTCCACCCATGGGGTTGGAGGAATCGCGGATGTCTTGGAGACTTCGGTCAAGTGCCTCAAGGGCGCCCTTGTGTGCCATCGTGCACTCATCCCAAACTATAAGTTTGCATCTCCGCAGAACTTCAGCCTGTGGCGAATTCTTTGTTATGTTGCAGAGAGGAGTTTGTGACCGGCATAGATCAAGCGGCAACCTAAAAGCCGAATGAGCGGTTCTACCTCCCGGTAGCAATGTTGCAGCAATCCCGGAAGATGCGACCTCAATAGCGATCTCCCCACGACGCCGTACCTCTGCCAGGACTAATTTAGTAACAAAAGTTTTGCCAGTTGCTCCGGGCGCGTCTAAAAAGTATATACCTCCAATGGCGCCGTTTGCCCTGTCTGTTATGGTAGTGAAAGCAACCCTCTGATCAGGTAGAAGTTTGGGCTCATTTTCGGTAATGTATGCATTCAGCCCCTCGACGGAGTAGGATGTTTCCCGCAATAACTCAGTTGGTACAGTGTCAAAACCAACTCTGAGCGGTGGTGGTAAACCGTAAGTTGGTAAAGAGGCACCTCCCAGTTCGAAAACAACATCTTCTAGGGCCACCAGCGCTCTGTTGAATATAAAGTCAGTGAAACCGCATTCAACTCCTGGGCTGTTACGCTGAACGGAGAACAGCACATCCTCTGACATGGATTCTCTGTACTTTAGCCAGAGCGACAGAGGATCAGTTAGTTCGCATCGCAAAAGCAAAATGGCGAATAGCGTTCGAAGCCGTGATGGCGTTCTGAGAAGTTCAGCCTCCGCCATGGCTGCATCCCATTGGGAGTCGTCTTCAAGCAATCCCAAACGGAAGCATGCCTCTCTATAAGACTGGCATTCTATGCCTTTGACAGTGCGAATATCTGTGAAACTCGTTGGCCCAGAAATTTCATGAAGTAGAAGGCGGAGGTAAAAGTACTCCTGCTGGCTGGGGGGCACAGTATAAACGCATCCAAGGCAAAAGTTAGACCTTACATCGGGATAACCCTCGACAGGGTCACCAGCCTTTCGTCGAACCCACCGGTTGTTTGACCACACGTAGTAGGACGGGACTTGGGGGTATATCAATGTTTTGGCAAAAGCATCTGTTGAGCATAATTTAAAGAAAGCCGTTAGGGTTGTGTCTTTAGGGTTTTCCGCAACCTGCTGAGCGTTTTGTTCGATGAAGTACATCCTCTGTCCATTTTCTAAGTGAACAGCAAGCTGCACAATGGCTGGAGCCCTTTGGTGTATGGGGAATCCGAAAATTCGCCAAAAGGCCTCGCTACTGCTGAGATAGCATCCAGCCACGTAATCGGCCACCACGTCAACGCAATTGTCGCGCCGGATACCGAAGACGGCAGCATCGCTGCCTTTATTAACGTACTTGCAGATGTACTTTATTGACTTAACCGAGTGTCAGTATTCAACGTTTATGTGGGCTCCAAAAGTCTTGGACAGCAGCGGGCAATAAGGCACCACCCAACTATTGTTCAGAGTGTGCCCCTTAACTGTCACAGTTCTGCCGCCCTCAGCGGGGCTTCTACGTCTGTACAGTGGGTAACCATCCGTCGCAGTCTGCGTTTCTGAGATAAACTTATGGGGGTAACCCTTTGCGCAAGTGGGGCCGCTTGACCAACATGACCTTTTTTCGTAATTCGCACCACAGGAGTCGTGTATCATATTTTTTTTAATGATTTCGTGGAGCAAAGGCTCCAGCGCAGGATCCGGAATTTCAGCAGAAATAAAATCGTCTATTTTGTTTGCGTCAACCTTATCGTTGAGCCACAGCATGATGTGGGCATGAGGCAAACCGCGTTTCTGCCATTCCACTGTATACATATGACACTTGGCGCGTCCGAAGACTTGCCCTTTAAATCCATAAGCTTACGCAGCTGTAACCGGAAAACGCGGGCAATTAGGTCAGGGCGGTGTGAGTACTGCTGGCCTGGAAAAAGTTCGCGTGTAATATCAACCCATTTCGGATTGCACGTGAACGTGATGAACAAATCAGGCCTCCCACAATGACGGACATAGGTCATTGCGTCTTGTGTCCTTTCATGCATGTATCGAGGGCCACCAGTGTAAGAGGAAGGCAAAATGCACGGTTTGCCGAGATTGCGTGGGTCAGCATCAGAACGCAGACCATCACGAAGGTGAATGTAGGAGTCAGTTCGAAGTTTGGATTGGTTTAACTTGATGAATCCTAACCTCTCCGACTCCATTTTTGCAGCCATGTTCAACAGCGAATTGAAGAAATATTTGACGGCACCTGTGCAAGTGGTTAATTTCACCCTCCCTAAACATAAACATGTAGGTGTAGTAAGCCCTACAGGAGACCGTCTTTGAGGTCGACATGGAATCGCTGCTTGCCTGGCATATTGGGATTTTGAAGTGGTACCCATCGCTTCCGTATGGAAAAAGAAATGGGTACTGGAGACAGTCGTATGAACGGTGGGTTTCACTGATGCGGCGCAGACCACCGCCCCGGTATTTTATGACAATGTCACGGTTGTTATGCTCCTCACCGTGGATGACTGCGGCAATTTCATTACATACAGGAGCATTGAAGCGACGCTCATGCTCACCTTGAGGCCGTCTGTCTGCATCGATGACAACGCTGAAAGAGGGCAAAGAGTTGTTTTGCAACGCAAACTTTAAGCTTCGGATGTAACTGTTAGTTTCGTGAAGCATGTCTTGTAGACGGAACAGAATGGCTCTACGGGGACCGATGGAAATATCGCTAAGCAGAATGCCGAGACGCGCATCAACCTGCTCGTTGTAGTCTGCGAGAAAGTAAATTTGTAAGAACTGAGGTGGCTCTCCCTGATCAGCCAAAAGTGATCCCATTAAGTGGTAAACCTGGCCTTGCACTTTGAAAGTAGGCATCCATCCCCCTTCACAAATAGCCTTCGCACCAAAAGACGTCATCTGGAAGCAACAGTTATACTTCCGTATTGCTTCAAGAAAATGCGTTGACTCCGAAGTTGTACCCAGAAGGAGGTCCCTAAGTGGCTGGGGAGGCTCGTCTAAAGAAGGGAGTTTGATTTTGCCCTCAGAGCAACAAAGCCCAGGTTGCTCACCGGCCCACTTTTGCGCGTTGCAGAAAGTGCAAACTTTATCCATGGCCCCTATTTGTACGTCTCTCCTAGCGGAATAGTTGACAGTGCAGTCATAATTGTATGCGACATTTGACCAAAATGATGCAGACGGCGAAGTTACGCCATTCAAAGAAGCTCGAAATGAGCTAATGTTTTCGAGCCGTTGACGGCGTACTTCAGAGTTTTCTGCAACCCTGGCAGATGCAGTAGAGCGGGCATTTCTAACGCGACGAACAGTGGTCTGTGCAGGGCTTTCTAGGGCTCTAGCAGATGCAGTGGAGCGGGCATTTATAATGCGACGAACAGCGGTCTGTGCAGGGCTTTCTAAGGCTCTGGCAGATGCGGTGGATAGAGCATTTCTAAAGCGACGATGAGCAGTTTCTTGAGGTTGTTCCAAAGCTCTAGAGGCGGCTGTAGCCCTAGTATTCCTATGACGACGTGAAGTTGTTTGTTCGGGGCTTTCTAAACTCCTGGAGCAAGCTTTGACGATGGCATCACGCAAATGACGAAGGGTTTTCTGTGCTGGGGACTGTGAAGTCCTCAACCTAGCCACGCGGACTGGGCCCTGTGAATTCTGAAGTGAACGTTCTTCAACTGAAAGCCTGACGCGGCGTGAGGACATAGTTGAAGCCGCTGAAGCCAACCTTTCAGTCCGCGCAGCGGCGCTTTCCATGGATAAGCGAGCAGATGGATATCGCTGTCATTAATGTAGGGGAAAGGTCGGTAATAGTGACCGTCCCTTCTCAACACAAACCTTACGTGAAAGAAGAGAGTGAGAATACCCCCTCTCTCTCTTAGCGAATATTGCGTATCCTGTTGCGTTAGTGCGTGTATGGAGGCCGTCCGTAAGAGGAGGAGGGGGATGACCTTGGCGCCCGAAAAGCACCAACGTGTGGACAATTATTGAAGTTTAAAATGTCAATTATGAGTCGAAGTTCGCTGATGAACCGACGAAAATTCTCGTAAACCCTTAAGCAAGACATACAGAAGCCCCTCGTAAAAGACTTACCTGCAGGAACCAAAAAAAAAAAAAGGAATTTAGCAGAAAAGTCGGGTACAAGTTAAGTACTGTGTTCTTTCCTTAATAATTTTCATCTTCGAAATATTTTTGTCTATCAGATTTCTTACGTCGGCATTTTTAAATTATTTCTTAATACTTTCTTTTAAATATTGAATTAATTTCAAATAGAACCAATTCATTATCATTGCCTTGTACCAAATTGCAAAGGGAATTATAAAAACGGTCCTAAAGAATTATCTTATGTCAGTAGACATCGTAAGATTATTGTTTAAAGTTGACGGACACGCATGTTTTAATTATTTTTTTTTTTTTTACGAATTGGTCAAACCCAAACTCAAACAAAAACATTGTTTTCAATCGTTATGGATCTACCAATTGAATAGAATTTTATTATAAACAATTGTCTTGTAAATGGAATTTTTAAAGCATTCTGAATGTAAAAATAAAGAAAAAAAGTGTGCAAGAGAATAAGAAACACTAGCTGCCAAAAAAAAAAGTGAAGTTTTGTTGAAATCGGTTGAAAATTATAGGAAATCCGATCCCATATATAAATGAACACACACACACACAAACAAACTGGTTTTTAAGCTGATGTGAGTTGTCCCCCTTTCATTAATGTCTCTTAATCGTGTTTTCAAATTGATTTTCTGCAAAAAACAATTGAGTTTTTGCAATTTTTGGCGCTGTTAGAACCACCGCAAGGTAATTTTATGTAGTCCTGTGAAGTTTTGTTGAAATCGGTTGAAAAATGTAGGAAATTCGATCCAATATATAAACGTTACAGACACACACACACACACACACACACACACACACACACACACAATCTGCGTTTTATAATAAGTAAGATATCAAAGTATAAGACAACGAACAGTAAGATTATAGCGTTCAAAACATTAATTAAAAAACAGTGCTCAATACACAAGGTAGAGACGTAAATATTTATTTATCTTATGCAGTGTTACATTAGAACATGCACATATTCACTACAAAATTGTTCATTTTGATTTCAACGTCAAAAAAAGGAAAACCTTTTTAAACGTCTCATCAGGTGGGGAATTACGGTGTTACAGGAACACTTTCTTATGACGTTGAAAAATGTACAAGTCAGTAGTGGATATGTGCATGATCTAATGTAGCACTATATATATATATATATATATATATATATATATATATATATATATATATATATATAATGTCTGGTTTATATTTTACATTTCAGATACGAATATAAAGAGATACGAAATTAATTTTCGTACCTGAAATGTTACTAAACTAATTTCAAAGATAATAATGAATTTTATTGAATATTCAACATTATTTCTTTATCGTTTTAGACGTAAAATATTCATATGTAATATTAAGTTTTCCGGCCTGGGCATCCGAGTATATAGTAGAGAAATATTTTTGGAAATGTATCGTATTTGTGAGAGAAAATATATTTGACAAGATCAACTGATGATCAAAGTACCATGAGAAGAAAAAGGAACTCCATCATTGCCAAGTAGTCGGCAAGATTATCCATTTGCAGACTGGCCGATACAGGCGCCATAGCGCTGTATCATTCATTGTTAAAAGTAAATCTTTTGGCTGCGGGTGTGACTCTGTGATATTGGCTTGGGAGACAACATATGCCGCACACCGCGAAACAACGCAAGTTCGAATCACATGTCGTGACATTCCAACACATTTCTTATTTTTTTTACTAAATGTAAGTATTCGACAATGCATTTTAATGCTGTTGTGGTAATTTACGGCTGCAGTGCATGTAATTTTATTCGGGGTGCAGAAAACGAGGGGACATACAAAACAGAACACCTAATCATTCATATCCATTGGAAATATTACTTAAGTATTACCTATACTAAAACCTGATTACGACTTTTAATATCTGCAAATATATGAATTAGTTTGTGAAATTTTAGTGTTTCTTCCATTAATAAAAGCAGATAATTCTATTTTTTATGTGTTGTTGATAAAATTTACATTTTAATTTTCAGTATCAGGATACAGTAAGTATAGTTTTCATGATTTAAAACATCTTAGTAATAACTGATACGAGTCAAATTTATTTAATGGAATTATACTTGACATCTCTTTTCTTATTTTTTCTAACTAAATATATATATATATATATATATATATATATATATATATAAGACAGGATGTGTGTGTGTGTGTGTGTGTGTAACGAATGCACGGCCGCAATTTTCGACGGATTTGCACCAAAATTTGCATGCACATGCTCCAAGTTAGTGGAAAGGCCAAGACCGACTTTGCATTTCCCAACTCCCATCGATAGTGGAAATAATCGATTTTTTCATGCTTCTATGGCAGTTCCCATTTTCTACTGGCCAGAGTGAGAGCCTATAGCTGGCTGCCACAAATAGGTAAGAAAATTCTATTAGCCAGCGTGACAGCCAATAGCTGATTGACACGAATGTTAACTAGCATGCTAGAATGCCAAAAAACTCGATAGCTGCATTCGACACAAGTGGGAAAAATTTAAATGTGCATGGCTCATTCGCTTGCTTAAAGTCAACGTTGATTCTGATTCTGCAGAACTGGGTTCGGTGTGAAAAAGTATTTGTTGTTAACATTCTTTTTCATTCGGTTTTTCCAGTTACGAGTCCTTTTTTTTTAAGCTGATCGTTTTGTGTTCATTTTGTTTAGTTATTTTTTCGTAACAGATTTAATGCTTAGTATAGAGCTTAGAAAAAATTCGCAGTGTGAGATAGGCAAGAAGTAAGGCATGTAGCAACATCAGTACGGCAAATAGCACTCCTTTAAAGGCAAGGAAGGGCAAAGATATTTTAAGTTAAGTGATAACGATTGCTGTATGAGTCGCACGATATTTGAATCAAGCACGTGCGGGCCATGCTGCTATATATATATATATATATATATATATATATATATATATATATATATATATATATATATATAAACATAAAACATTAGGCAGCATATGATTTACATACAAAGAAATAATCACACATAGAATCAATCAGAAGTATTAATGCGATTATTGGCGACATCCATCGCTAGAAAACATAATATATGCATTAAAATACTGTTCATCCATAGTGCGAGTTTGATCCTCGTCGATAAACTTGTTGTCTGTAGTTTTCAGTTTATCTGATGTTAAAATGCTAGTACTTACGAATAGTCCTGTATTCATCGTCAGGCATGTGTTTTTTTCCTTATAAAATCAAAAACTTGAAGACGATATACCTGTATGTCGACCGAAATATGTTTTTTGAATATCTGCTATTATTGACGGTTGTGTAAGATCTCGGAACGTGCAAAGACGCAACGCTAAGTTTTTCAAAATTTTATGTGAGAATTTTATTTAAATATTTCTTGTGATGTGTTAAATCCACGTATACATATATATATATATGTATCTTTTTTATAAATTAATAATGTTAATGGGATGTTTAAATCGACCAGTTAGTCCATCATATATATGTAAACAGAAAATACATTTGATAATTGTGGGGCTTAGTTCATTTCATAATATATATATATATATATATATATATATATATATATATATATATATATATATTTATATATTTGTATATATATATATATATATATATATATATATATATATATATATATATATATATATATATTAATTTCACAAATATATATACTTATGAATTGCTTTATAAAGTATTATTACTTTTATTAATTAATTATTAGTGTAGATTTTAAAGATACATCTCACACGTGAAAATTATCTTTTGAATCTATGCGTTTTAAAAGAAATAAAACATTCATGGTCGAGATTCATTTTGGGATTTCTGTGTTTGTGAAGTTTTTCTCTAAGTATTTTAGAAGAGTTGATTATTATCAGCAAATCAAAGTTTCGTTATCATTACACGTTGCACAGATGTGACTTCGATATCAAAAGCCTGATTAACGCTCATTAAAGACGCGAAAAATGGATTTCCTTAAAAATCAAGCGAATGATCCAATAAATTATCTATGATTACAATTGATTCGAATCTTCGTTACGGCCATTTTTAATCCCATGACCGGGTGTCGCTTTGCAACTGAGCAAGCCCACCAGTCATATCCAAATACCTGGCTTGAAAGTATTCATTCATGTGTGGACTGCCTTGATCAAAAGACTTCCGTGTTAAACCACCCCCGAAACATTCCTCAGTTAACTCATTACTACACACGTTAAACGTTAAAAGGCACACTAGACATAAATGTACACGAATGACAAATGTAACCTAGTCTTTATTGCAACACAGTGCCATCTACTGTAAACTTTCTTTAAACTTAATAACTAAAAAACGAAGGATTTTTTGACATATGTTTATATGGACTTTTCGCCTGTAAGCAGTAACTATTACTGCTGATGATGCAAGACTCTTCGTTAAGACGAATCAAGTTCACCGGTCACTAGCGTGTTTGTCTAAAAGTAAATACGTCTAAATTCACCTTCATCCCTACCGTGCGTCAATGGCTTAGGGGTAAAGTCACCGAGTTATGCAAAATCAGTCGGCTCTGGGGTAATCGGATGCCTAGATGATGAGCTGTGAAACAGCGAAACAGTCTGTCTGTTGATGACAATATATATATATATATATATATATATATGTTATAAGCGTATATGTATATAAGATAAGCATTCACCTAATCAAGGCGATAATGCCACTAAGATGCAAGCATTTGGTCTGAGTGAAAGATAAAGTGAAGATTCTATTGAAGAAAAAGGACTGCGTAATTGTATATGGTAAATAAGTGGCAAGGAACCAAAATGCTGAAAGACAGTCTTATAGAAGAGAAGTGTGAGAAAAGAAATTATGAGAATAGAATTTACTGTTACACCAAGTTATTTCAATAATAAAATTATGACATCTAGTTGTCAATGTATCAGTTCGTACCATAAGTTCTGTCAGGATTTTGAATAATAAAGAATAAATGATCACATCTTACATTTTATTGAAATTTATTCATCCATTTTTGTTTCCATGATTATCTATGACTTCCTTCCATCTTCTTACAATTTTTTTTAATTCCATGAATAAAGAACTCTTTCGTTTTTGAAGAGAAGAACCTTGAAATGTTAGTTTCGAACTCATGTCTTTTGAGAGTAAATCCATCCAAATGAATCTGTAAACAAGAGAACAAATGGTAGTCTGAAGGAGAAAAGGCGGAAAAATAAGGTGGGTGAGGGATTCTTTCCCAAACAAGTTCTTCAATTTTATGGGATGTGATTTTTGCAGTGTGGGGCCGAACATTGACCTGATGAAACATCACTCCTTTTCCATTCACTAAAACAGGTCCTATTTTTCTTTAAAGCTGCGTGCAAACGCTCTAATTGCTAACAGTAGACGTCAGCGTTCATTGTTGAATTAGCTAGTAGAAACTCGGAGTAAATTGTTCTTTTGCAATCCCACTAAATTGAGAGACCTTTCTGTGCATGAAGTTCCCACTTTCCGATTACCAAGCCACTGTCTACGACTTTTAATATTTTTATAGAAAAATCATTTTTCTTCACCAGTCAGAAGTCTATCCAAAAAGGGCGAGATGAGTTCCTGAGAATGAAGAGAAGAACAGATTTCAGCTCGGGATTTGCAGTTGATTTCACACAATTCATGAGACACCCATTTTCCAATTTTAGAAACATTTCCTTGTTGTTGAAGAGGATTATGAACAGTTGTGTGGTTTGAAAGAATCTTCATTGCCAATTGTTCAACTGATACTCTAGGATTTTCATCAATCGTTGCCACAAGGAGGTAATCATCAAATTCAAGTGGATGGTCTTCATTTTCAAGGCTGAAATTTCCCATTCTGAATTTTTCAACCATCTTCTACAAGTTCTTTTATTCAGGCATTCTTCTGCATAGGCTGATTGAAGCTGAGTCGCTTCAGCTCAAGAGTTCCCTTTTTAAAACTCATAAATTATTACGTGCCTTAAATGCTTCTTCGACAACGCCATCTTTGAGGAGCTAATTTTATTATTTATTTCAGTCAAATTATTCTGTACAAAGAAATTATATTAAATTAATGGTTTCTAAATTCATATGATTACTACTCAGTATCTTTTGATATTTTAGAATACTGTAAAATTTTATTGAAACTGTACATATTTCGGACAGAACTTATGGGATGACCTGATAGTAATTCATTTAAATTTATGCGGTCGATATAACATGGAGGTGAGCGTATCAGAATAATTGCCATGAGAATATTTATAGAAAAGACAATGGGAAGACACATCACTGCGGTGGCATATTGACTGAAGTCGAGATACTAGGTCAGAACCGATGGCATTACAGATCCTTCTTTGAACTTCAAGAATCTCGAGATATGTGGCAGGAATACCGGACCAGACGTAACCGATGCACTGAAGAAAAGTAGATTTATATATATATGAAAGATGGATTCGGACGGGAATGAATGTCTTAAATGCCACAGTGAAACAACATTCCTAGCAGCAGACCGAGAAATTGATTAACTATAATTAATGTGCTTCATGTCAGTAGAAAACACGAAACCAATGATTAAAAGATAACAGTTTCGTTTTGGAGGTATTCATATTTACAAGTCATTTTTTGCCTCTATTAACAACTGATTGAGATCATATTCAAAAGCAAAAGCAGGTTTTACTTGGTAGAAACTATCAGGCTTACTCTTAATAGAGGAGTAACTAGCTTTGCCATCAACATGAATATATATATTTGTGAAATGATGAAATGGAAGGTCGTTGATGGAAATCATAAACAGGGTAGGTCCAAGAATCGAACCCTGGCTACTCAAATATTAATGTGAAATGAGCAGGTCCGTTTAACATCGCCTTCATTACACTGGTTGTTAGAAACGATTGAATATAGCAGATTAAGTCATATAGTTGTCCAGAGACACCGTATTCCTTTCGCTTTGTGAAGTGGGTCAGTATGCCAAACCTGTCGATCGCCTTATCGAATGGATGATAAACAAGTTCAATAATAACTGTCAATACATCGATCAAGATTAAAGAAAGCCGTACATTTACACGATTAGTAAAGAACGATTGAATTAAGCCAGATGTTCGGCTAGGCAGACCATAGCTCTAGAGGTTGTATGTACCAAGTCATGCTATAAAAGTGAAAGACAACAAAATACCAAAAAAACATCTAGTATTGCGAACTGTTTGAAAGAAAACGTCCCCGTCATAAATGAAGTAAATCCTTTCGTGACAGTCTGAAGGATTAGCTTAATGCATTTATCATGGGTGATTCAAATTGTCAATCTAACACTCTCGACACAGACAAGTGGACATCTATCACTAAGAAAGGGATGACTAAATAAATATATACAAATAAATTTATATATATAAGTTTATCCCATACTAAATAACTTAAATATTAATTTGCATAAAAAAACTCAACATTGTTTATTCACTTTCGTTTATTAGACATTAAATTACGTCACTTAGCATCTTCCATATTTTACCTTGACTTTCCCGTTAACCTCATGTATATTCATGAGTGTCTCTTAAATTTAACAATTTTGGAAATGGCCAACATCAAGGACACATAGCACAGTGGATAAAGGCGTTGGTTAGATCCAGTGACAGGACCCAAAGAGTGTGAGTTCAATACCCGGTTAAGGCAGTGGAGAACTTGGAGAGGGGAAATTGTGTGTGTGATGCGGCATTCACCCTGGGCGGATTGAGCCGGCTTCTTCCTGTTGTGAGAAGAATATTCTTGGGATAAATTACAGAAGTAGGGTACCCAGTATCCTACTCGGATAACGTTCTTGCTTTCCGCGGGGTTCCCACAGACGCAGAGACAGGAACGACCTGAAGCTGCAGATGCTCCTTGGGTTTTCACCAGAGCCCTTGTTAGCCGGCGTGTGTGTCAGACCTGTCCGCCTTGGGTGACCCTACCAGGAACGAAGTTCCGGACGGCATTGCTCTGACACTACCGTTTACACCCCCCCCATCGACTGTGAGGTAAGGGTTGGACTTTGGGGGCTTACAGTACCAGTTGTTCCCAAGCGGTCCCCCATCTAAGTACTGACCTGGCTCTACGATGCTTAACTTCGGTGATCGAACGAGAGCCGGTGTTTTCAGCGTGATTTGACTGTAAGCATGAGAGGGAAAATTAACAGGAGATAACTGATATCCATTAAACATAGCAAGTGGAACTAGAACTGTCTACCCCAGTGAGCGAAATAAAGGGTTCAGTTCGACATTCCAACCACCTGAAGAAGGCCGGAGCGTACAACGGCCGAAACGTTGTAATAAATATAGCGACAAAGATAAGGACAATAGCCCGAATAATGTAAATAATTTTTGTTTTGTTTATAAATACTTGTTGCAAGTTAAAATCCTTAAATTTGCCTTGATAATGTACAGCAGACGATGAAATGCGCTGGCTAAGTTTTCCCTTTGTATTTAAGTCCATTCCTGATAGTCTGAAGGATTCGCTTAATGTATTCATCATGGACGATTCAAATTGTAATTCTAATGCTCTCGACACAGACAAGTGGAGATGTATAACAAAGAAGTATGACTAAATAAATATATATTAATAAATTTTTATATATATATATATATAAATTTATCACATAGTAAATAGATTAAATATTAATTTGCATAAATATTTAACATCATTTCCTCACTTTCATTTATTAGACATTAAATTACGTCACTTAGAATCTTCCATATTTTACCTTGGCTTTTCCGTTAACCTCATGTATATTCATGAGTGTCTATTAAATTTAACAATTTTGAAAATAACTAACATTTTAATTTTTTATCGACACTTGTTGCAAATTTAAAGATTTAAATTTGCCTTGATAAAGTCCATCAGACGATGAAATGCGCTGATTAAATTTTCCTTTTGTCTTTAAGTCGTGACAGTCTGAAGGATTTTCTTAATGCATTCATCATGGTGATTCAAATTGGGAATCTAATGCTCTATACACAGACAAGTGGATATTTATCACTAAGAAAAGAAATGATTATTTTCTGACAATCTGCAATTTCAATGGCAAAGAAAAAAGCCGGTGAAGCGAAACAGAATGAGCATATTCGGAATGCAAGATTTATCGTCATTCACATAAAACGCCACATGGTGAGAGGTAACCGTAACAACCAAGACTCTCAGGTAATAACGGTCTGATTACACATGCTGTGGTAAATCGCGCTACTGTAACTTAGACTCACCAGGCACTTGAAAACCCATAACCGGTGTTCCCAGGAGGCACAGACTATACAACGATGAATTGCTTACATTTGCGATAACACTTGCAAATCAAGCAATCTGATGCAGTGTAATGGTCAACAGGTTTGTCTCGCTAGATTAATTACAATTGAATAGTGACTTCGGTCCTCACTGGGTGTCCCATACTTTCAGCCTTGTGAAAATCATCGTAACATTTGCGATTCGAGTACAGGCTTTAAGAGCAATTGTTCGCATCATGATACATTAATGCATTTCAGTGAAGGCCATATTCATTTAATGAATCGACAACAATTATATATGTACAAAAGGGAGCAGAAATTCTGGCCAAATGACCAAGAACGACAATTTGATTGGTTAGTGTCTTGATTGGGTCGACAATATCTTATTATAATGTTTTAAAATGTATATATGCTCACCAATCAGAATTCACCGTACATTACTAATATTAATTGGTTGGTTGGTTTGGTCAGAAAGGAACTTACATAAAACTTGTCTATATTATTTAATGAAACATGTATTAATGAAAAACTGCCGCCTAAATATACACAATATATATATATATATATATATATATATATATATATTGTGACAGCAACCCTTTAAGTGGCTTTGTGGTGAATTATATATATATATATATATATTGTGTATATAGACAGACAGCAATCCTTTAAGTGGCTTTGTGGTGAACTATATATACTTAAAGGGGTTGTAGTCACAATATATATATATATATATATATATATATATATATATATATATATATATATATATATAGTTCACCAAAGCCACTTAAAGGGGTTGCTGTCAAAAATGTTATTGCGAAATGCGGTCTGTGATATGAATGAGGGAGAAAATTGTGATAAATGGTTATTAGGACGAGAGATGACTTGAAGATATCAATATTCGAATTTTCAGATAAGCAACCACAGTGGAATATGTTACACAAAGTGGCAGATCTTGTGAAAACACCGTCATACTTCCTTCTTACTTCTGCAAAACGACAACGTGGCCGTGATGATTTGAGTCCTGCTGAGACGCTTCGATCTGGTTGGACTCAAGAGTGGAAGTCATCTGAAAATTCGCATTGAAATTAGATATAGTTACCACGGAAGAAAAAAAAATCTGAAACAGTCTTTTTATCGAGAGCAATAAATTGTAACCGAATCTCACAGACAATGTCTTCGGTTTAAAAGAATTTTCGAGGGATGGAAGATATTTTATGAGGTGAGGCAAAGGATAGTGAATGGTTTGGTTTGGTTAATTTTGTTTTACGGCATATCAACATCAATCGATTATTTAATGCCGACAAAATTTTTATTGCTGGTAATATGTTTTTCTTCAAAAATATATTTCTAGGAATATTATTCCTTGAAGAAATCTATAGCTTATCATATTTTTTCAAATGACGTATAAATGTTTCTATTGCTGGTATTTTTTAAAAAGTATTACTGATAATTTTTCTTCAAAAATTATTGCTGGTAATATTTTTCTTTTACAAAATATTTCTGTTATTAAAACCTATTTTTACACAAGTTTGGGTTTTAACTATTTGCCTACAGCTGGGACCCTAACAGGTGCTACCACCCCGGGTCAGGGTGGACCTTGGAACACAATCAATTAAGAGGTGATTCCACGCTCCTTAAAACCTCTTGATAAGAGGCCTTGCTGTTGGACGTAGTTTATTGTCTTACCCAGGACACGGATGTAGTTTATTGCCATACCCAGGACGACGATAGTGAATGATTTACTTATGTGAATTTTACTGTGTGGCGCAATATTTTCATGCCGGTTTTGTCTATATTTTACATGTATTTTTTAAGAACACAATTAAATGTTATGCATAATTTTTAGACCAAATTACACCAATACAAATGTTTATTCATATTAAACATACTATTTTAAATTAAGAATAATAACAGCCGTATTTCCTTAATACTGATTTTTTTCTGGAATATACTTTAATATTACTTCTTCTCTGTGTCATCTTCTACCCGGACACGACCCGGCATATCACTCCACAACATCATACCTCTTTTAGATTTAAGCAATTTTGTCTCTCTTACATTCATCTTTTCCTATCTTTCAGCAAATAAAAGATATGCCATTTATGGAGATATTGCCATATCTGAGAATATTTTTCAGAATTGGAAAATTGGATATGAAAAATCGAGAGGATCTCGACATGCGTTCAGTTGTTGATTATAAGCAAATCGAAACACTAAATCCATATATTCTATATAAATATAGATTATAAGCAAATCGGAATACAGAATACATATATTCTATATAAATATAGATTATAAGCAAATCGAAATGCTGAATACATATATTCTATATAAATATAGATTATAAGCAAATCGAAACACTGAATACATATATTCTATATAAATATAGATTATCGGAAAACTACGTTCAGATTTTGATGAAAAGGGTCGATATCACGTTGAAGATTTTCTGCGTTAAGAGCAAAAAAGGAATCCGTTCCGTCTACCATGTTATAATGATTCTATCGCCAAAGTGCAAAGGTTAGCAAAACTGTCCTGCGGGCAATTACAACTGAACAACATTAGTTCTCTACTCGGACGACTATAAACAAATTAGAGCAAAGTATAGATCAATACATTTTCTATTATATGATGAAACACTGTTGAGCGTTTGCTCCCAAAATATGAACAGACATATATATGTCTGTATATTATGTCTGATATAGATAGAGAGATAATGAAAAGACTGCAATACACACACACACACACACACAGATATAGATAGATAGACAGATAGAAAGAGAGGCAGACAGACAGAAAGAAAGAAGTAGGTGGATAAAAGTTACCGATTCAGAATGTTTGATTAGATTTTGAAAACTCGGTACCAATAGACAAACCCATCAAGAGAAAGATAAATATGGACACTGATATACTGATATATATATATATATATATATATATATATATATAGATAGATAGATAGATAGATAGATAGATAGATATAAAGAGAATGCGATATATACATATATACAAGGATACGAGACAGATGCGAACAGAATGAGATAGATACAATTAATGAGTAGACTGAAACATGAAAATAAGGAACATATATATATATGTGTGTGTGTGTGTGTGTGTATTGTGTGTGTATTGTGTGTGTCGGTGTGTGTGTGAGTGGGTGAGTGAGTGAATGTGTGTGTGTGTAAAAATTTCAGAGTGTGTGTATTTGTAAAAGGACAATATGAATGAAGAAAAAAGGAAATCTTACCTTATCCGAAGCATTTTCTTCCTCTGGGACATTCTCCTTCAATGACTCAAAGAGAATGCGTCGGTATATATATATATATATATATATATATATATATATATATATATATATATATATATATATGCGTGCGTGTGTGTATGTGTTTGTGTGTTACGAGATTCCGTCTGATAGCATTTTATCACCCACTTTTACAAAGTGTGTCATAGACTGAGAAACAAGTACAATTTTATATACGAGTGTTGTTCAAAAGTACTAACCCCAGTCAGTAAGAGTTGTAGAAACAAGACAGGTTTTCACTGTTTTTCAATATACTCTCCATTGACAAAAATACACTTCCAACACAGAACAAGGTGGCGCCCCGGTCCCCTAAAAACTATTTTACAGCAAATATGATCTCATCATTGTTTCCAAAATGACAGGTGGGATTTGATTTTAAGAAGCGAGTGGTACCAATTCAACGTCACAGTTAGCTGCTTCAACGACTGCAACCTGAGCAGTGTGAACGGGTTCGTTATCCTGGAGCAAGCGCACACTTTCTCTCTGCGTTTCCATTTGATTTCTTCCTCCGGTTGTATTAATTCCGATACATAGCACTGTAGATAGTCAATCATGATTACACCGTCAGAATAAAAAAGAAAAACGGTGCCTGCTTGAAATTCTTCAAGGTAGAGAATCAGAGTGTTTCCACTGTTTGCTTTGAATTCTTGATTCAGGTTCGAAGTGGTAAATCCTGGTTTCATCTTGAGTTACTAATTTGAGGTGGACATTCTCAGGGTCAGTCTGCAAGTGAATCATAATTGTCTTAAAAATACCAACTTCTGCTCTGATGTCAACATTTTAGGGGGCCCTTTGTACAGACAGCTTGCTCATCCCCAAGATCATTTATCAGTTAAAACATTATGGGCCGAACCAGAAATAATGCCTATAGATTTAGCTATCTGCTATGTATGGCATCAACTTGATCATCAGTGGTTGAGGCTTTTGGAAGACCTGACCGAGGGTCAACTTCTGTGCTGTTCCCGCCTCGCTTCAGAGTTGCATAGGAGGGAGAGTCCTCAGCAACTCTCTGTACCATTTGTTCATGGATTTCCTTCGATGTGATACATTTCTTTGCAGTTACTTCATGACTGATCGGGCCTCTGCTTTGTCTATTTTTTAGATCTGTCGCACAATTTTCACCTTTGTCTGGGTCTAACCTGCACAGAAATTAATACCGAAGTATAAATTCGTTTTTCTAGTTTTATAGGAAGGCATAGTTTGTTACCATAACAAAATTGTTCACCCATGTTTCTTATTTCTGTGTGAGGATTAGAACTTTTTGAACCATATGAAAAGACTGAGATACATCCTTATGCAAATTCATTGAAACAACCGATTTAGTTTTCTTTTCTTTCACGATACGGTCAGTTTTAGATGCACTGGAATGACAGGTTGCAATCGATTTCTATTTTTTCCTCAGATTAGGTAATTTGTAGTGGTGTGCAGTAATATGAATCTATTTTCGGGGTGTATGATGAAATTTGTTTGGTCTTGAAATATATTGCGTCATCCGTGATTACATCAGATTTTCCTCACGCCCAGTCACTATTGTCTCGACTGTTGATTAGTTGTCATTACGGTCACTGCCTGCTATGGATGTTACTCCAAGGAAGCGTATGAAAATTGTAACGCTGCACGAACACAATGGTAAGCCTTACCAGTGAGCAAATCAAAGTAATGTCGACTGGCTCGGCAAATTTAAATCCAGTCGAGAATCTGTTGTCAGTCTGTAAGGAAAGATTTGGTGGAATGGACATACGAAGTACTAACATATGCACTGGGTCATGTTTCATTGAAAAATACGAAAAACAAAGTAAATAATAACTGAATTATTCGTTTTGTTTCAATTACTTTCCACAAGGATAGATAGATAGATAGATAGATAGATAGATAGATAGATAGATAGATAGATAGATAGATATTATGATGTGACAGATAGATAGATAGATAGATAGATAGATACTATGATGTGACAGATAGATAGATAGATAGATAGATAGATAGATAGATAGATAGATAATTATTACGATGTGACAGATAGATAGATAGATAATTATTATGATGTGACAGATAGATAGATAGATAGATAGATACTATGATGTGATAGATAGATAGATAGATAGATAGATAGATAGATAGATAGATGTTGAAATAGTAAGATGAATTCATTGAGAAAGCTAATTTATGAAGCTATTTATAACATTTTTATACAGATATTTTATGTTCCAATCTAAACTTCTCTTTATCATATTTTTGCTCTCAATCTTTATCATTTTGTGATAAACGAATAAAACAGACTTTATTATTTTCTGGAGCTTTTTTTTATCGCTTCTGACTGCGCGTTGTTTGAATCATTTCATTGCCTTGTTTTTTACATTATGAAACAATAGGGTTTTAGTCAAAGACATGTTATTGCTTTGCTGCCATTATTGGAACCTTTTCATTTACTTTTACGAAAAGAACAATGAAATAATTGAAGCGTACATTTACTGAATTTGTTATTGAAACAAGGTCATTGGAATGGAGTCATCAGTGGAGATTATAACACTTCAATAACAAAATGGCTTCAAATATGTGTTTGCTAAATAAAGGCTCTACGGTTTCTATGTCCCTATCCGGTTGATATTAATCGTTCCATAGAATGGTATCTGCTGGATCATTTGGACGATCAGATAGGAGCAATTATAATTACCCTAACATTCTTCGTAATATTTTCATATTATTATTTTATCTACCCAAATAGTTGGTTCGCATTATAAAAGAAAAATAATGTTCGTTCAGCTTTGAACTCAACGTTTCATTCCTGAAGTGTTTTTTTTTACAGAGGACAGGAAATATACCGAAATCAGTAGAGGCATTTGAAGAGCGAAATGGGATGAACTTGACAGAAGAATTAAAAGAAAAATGAAAAAGAGCTCTTAGAGTCATTGAAAGAAGAATGGAATCAATTAGTAAACTTCTGCTCTGAGAAACTTTTTCAACGAATACCAAAAATGTGTGCTGCAGTGATCAAGATTAAAGATATTTGAACGAGAGCAAAATTTAATTGATGTATCATTTTTTTCTTAAACATGTATAATAATTTTCTTTTATTTAAAGAACAAAACAACTACATTTTAGAGAAATTACTAGATTTGACCTCAAACATTTGAACTGTAGTGTGTAAAATAACCACAACAATATTGGTTGTAGTAATTCTCAATTACTTTATTCTCGTTCTAATGAGATACAGATACAAAACAATCTCGCTGGCTCTCTGCTACTCAGTTGTTTATAAAACACTGAACGACCTAACTGTCTCTCTGTGGACGTCTCCCATGATCTAATGAGACCTTCCATTTTTACTCTACATACAATGTCCGTCCTCTGAAAACAGGACAGATTGACGTGGTCAGTTAAAAGTTTGCCCCATAATATGTGTGCAATTGTCCTAGCATTTGTGGAGATAGAATTCCAGGTGCTCGCGTGTTTCGACATGGGCGTTGACATGGGGGTGGTGTCTCCCGATATTCGTGTTCTCAAATGTTACTTTGTATTGGGCCGACTGAATCCGCGGTGTTGCCAATTCCTATTTCTTCTGATTCATTACTCGTGGTATTTGATTTATGTTGTACATTGGGCGATAAGAGTTTATAATCCGTGTCAATCAAAATAGAGCATTCACCAGGTCACTGCGGTCGGACACCAGGACCTGCAGAGGTATTATACTCTTGTGGCCTAGATGTGGTTAACCTTTTTTTCCGTGTTGCTATCATGAACCAGTTGTAAATCGAAGTTCCATGAAGTCGATGGACCGGCTCCCTGCGAGTAATGATGTGGAATGTCAACAACTGGGTGGAAGAAACGACGGTTGCGTAGAGTTACACGTCCACTCACACACGGCACTGCCTCATCGATTCTCCCTGTTTTTGTCCACAAATGAGCGTGAGGGCCATCTTGATTTTGGATCTGAACAGAATCGCCAATTTGTAAATCCTCAAGTGGACGACAATGTTCTTTGTATAAGTGTTCGTTTCACACGTGCCTTTTAGCTGACTTTCTTCACCAATTTCTCTCCACTGTTTACGTATCTGTTATTTGTCCCCTAGGACAGGGTAGCGGTCTTTGATAACACGACCGTATAACATCATAGCAGGAGACATGGCAAGATCCTGCACAGGAGCGTTGCATCGGGTCAGCAAAGCACGGCCTGCAAGATCATGGCACAGCCGACCGCAACTGTCAGTGTAGATTTGACGGCCAATTCTGCCCGGTCATTGCGTTGTGGGCAGTAAGTCGATGAAGTACGTTTCCGTATTCCCCTATTTTTAAGGAACGAATCGTATACTTGGAAATAAAAATGTCGTGCTGCATCGTAAGAAAGTTCTTAATGGTCATCATATGTGCAGAACCAAAATCTCAGGGCGTCGGTTACTACCATGACGTTCCATCGACTGTACTGATCCGCACATATAAAATAATTTCTAATGTGTAAGTCGAAAAAGTTAATCTCGGTTTAGTGGAATGGGAATTCAGGGTTAAGTGTCGGCTTCAAGATCGCTTGACGGGTGATAGAGTTGCATATCTCTCTAGTCTGTCGGGTGCTGGCATCTAAACAAGTCCCAAATAGACGTTGTATCGCAGTTGCTAGCATGCTATTTACACTCTGGTGTGCAGAATATAAGGAGTCAAGTACTTCCTCAGAAGTTGTCAAGGTATAAGGATTTCATTCTCTTTTAACGGTACTCCTTCGTGCAGTTCAATTCCTCACGCACAGGCTAAAAGCGGGAGATCACCGACAGCAGATCATGGTGTGATTTGGCGAAACCACCCGGTATATATTCCCTCAGAGTCCGAAATTCTTCATCAATGGTTGCCGCTTATCCCATGTGATAGCCCCAATTTAGGCTCATGCTCCTAAGTAGACATGAATACGGCCTTGTTTGCACGATCAATGCACTATCAATTGATTCGACTGCATCAATTATAGTCGTCTCGTAAAATGGCCGTCTGCACTTCTGTTGTATATGTTCAGATGATATTTGAGGACGTTCTGTCGAGTTCGCTGATGGGATCCATGCTGGGTACCAAGAGGTGCAGCTGGGTGCAGCATTAAGTTTTCCAGAAAGATGTTTAATGTTGAATATTGCGTTCTTTGAACTTAAAGAGACTTGAGTTCTTTACTCGAGGGCCTGATCGGAGAAGAAATTATGAGTTGTTGATGGTCAGCAGTCACTAGAAAATCTGGCAGTTCTAATATAAACATCCGACATGATTCTATCCCATAGACAAGAAGAGCCAGAGATTCATCTTCGACAGATGCATAACAAGATTCTGCGTCGTTGATAAAGCAAGATCTGGACAAAATAATTTTCCAGTGACCATCAGCGTCATTTGGAATCGCTTCGCCTGGGTAGTTACGGTGTTTACTGCAACCTGTTGAAAGGCATGACATTTTATTGACCTCGAACGTATTGACTCCGACCTCAATTACTCGCTTAGACTCCTCAAAAATTGGTCAAGGGTTTCGTCTTAATAAATTTTTCTGCTCTTCGAGCGCAGTAATTCTTGAAAGAGGGTAATCTCAGCTCCCGAGAATGCATAGGATACCTGATTCACCAATCCAAACCAGGACCTGTACCCGTGATATTTGTGGCTGTGAGAAAATGAAGGATGGTCTCAGTCATTTTCTTTGTTGGTTTCACGCCACTGGATGTTATTAAGAACCCGGCAAACTCGGCCTCATCTCTGCAAAATGAAATTTGCTAGGGTTAAACTCAATCTCATTATTCCTACATTTGGCAAAATATTCCGTTGTATGACAGAACGAAGATTCTATATAATCGTCCCAAAGGAGGCTATCGTCTATGAACGGGTTTTACCAACCATATTTTTTTTAGCTATGTCCACTGTAAAATCGTCGAACCGATGATTATATTCGTCTCCAGACGCGTGAAATTCCTGGGAAGAACGAAGATACCTCTATCGGACTGATTCAATGATAGATTTAGAGGCATCGTGTTGGGCTGGAGAAAGCGGTAAACTGTGGTATCAGTTTCATGTGTCCAGAACAGTTTTCCTTTACTGAGCCGGAACGTCGGAAACTTGATTAAATGGGGACAGGGTGTGAAGTGTTTCCCTCATGGAAGCAGCGTTCAGTACTTGTAAGTCTATCGTGAGTCTGGGGGTCGCCGTCTTTTGGCGGTGCGACCTTTACGCCCTTCAATAAGTTGAGTCGGGATGTCTTGGCTGGGAAATCAGATGGCAACAGATTTACGTCCTTCAGGGCAGATTCTGATAAATAAAAACCAAACGTGTTGTTTGACACATAAACCACCTCTCATGTCACCCTCGTGACAATTCCTATATGGATGAACTTCACCCTCTTTATATGAAGATAATTGCCTGTGATGCTACGTATTTGATTACTAGTTGGTGCGAGGTACTCGTCTGGGCACCTAAGCAGTTTTAATATCGCTGGTGCACTTGAAAGAGTTTGAGACTCTCTATCGGAGAACGGGAAGATACGACTGGGTGGGCCCGAATGAAGCGTGGGTTTGATGAATTATAGCCTATTCTATTGTCAGTGACGGCGTCTAATCTGGAAATCATCTTTCAAATTAATTTTCATTCCGCGCAAGATGAGGCACAGTACCGGGTATTTTCATACTGTTTTTACGGCTCCGTTTTGATCTGCTAGCACAGCCGATGGCATGGGTTGCGGGACCTTTCAAACTAGTCTTTGAGAAAATGAATGAAGCGCATCCTCTCTCCTAACTTGTTAATCTGTTCTTGGTTCCAATTCTAATTTTAGTAGATTTCTGGCTTACCCTTTTTACATGACCACTAATCCTGCAATTATAACATAGCAGATTAGCTATTGGACAGTCTCTTCTACTAATTGATCCACCTGGGTGGAATGTCTTCCTGAAAGTTACACAAAGATTCTTATTCGGTGAAGAAGCTAGTACATTAGTTCCTCGGGGTTGTTGAAGCACACGGCGATCGTAAGTAGGACGGGGTTGACAGACTAAAATCATTTAGTAACCGTGCAGCTGACTTGTCCGTCGTTTCCAAGCTGACAACTAGGTTGAACTTTTGATAGATTGTGGTG